TGAAATAAAATAAGACACTAACTTATTTTAAGAATATATATACGTGAACATGTTTGTTAAAATCAATTACCATGATAATTATAACAAAAATTTAATCCTCATTTGTGGTGTTACTAGTGTTACTACTGTTACAGGTGTTACCCACACTTGTAATGTCATCAAAGGTTTCTGTGTTTTCGCTTCTTTCATTCTACTGAATAATTTTATATAAGCGGCAGCTACTGGTAATAATTTTATGTAAATGTTGCTGTATAAGGGGTATGTGCGATGTGGAAAAAAATATCGATATCGCTCTTAGACAAATAAATAAGTAGTGTTTTTATCAGTAATCATCAAGGTAGCGATGCAACAGCGATCGATAGATTTCAAAAAAAGGTAAAATATTAGAATCCCCACATTTAACCCACATAGCGTCAATCCCACAAAATGCCCAATCGAGTTAAAAATTCCCCGCAATTTGGGGAATTCGCCACAAATTGCCAACACTATGAGTCTTGCCCATTTATTATGAGCAATTTATCTATGAAGAATATTAACAACAAAAGAGGAAATGTAGTAAAAAAAATACTATTGTCATATTTTTATTTTCATACTTTTAGAAAAACAACGTACCTACTCCAGAAAAAAAACTGTTTCTTTTCATTTTTTTTTTTTCATTGTTTTTTTCACCCTAGAAAAAAACGGTTTGTTAACAACACTACTGCTGTGCTCCACGAAGTCTGAGGAGATAGTGGAGTACATCAAATTGAAATCCAAATACTCTCGGAGAGTTGAGCCTTTGGAGTCCCGCTACAACGTGAATTTTAATGGTGAGAGTGCCAACCGAACATCTCTCGACCTTCATGAAAGAGGACTTATGGCCAATGGAAGTCATATAATTGCGAATTGCACACGTCGTCGCCGACAAGTGAAATTCGTGTAGATTAGTTATTTAATATAAATAGTGTTCTATTATATTGTCGTGTGGACTGAATTAAATACTCGTAAATAAATAAAAATAAAATAAAATTACACTTAGGTATTCATAAATTTTACCAAAATTTTATCCAATAGTAAAGAAAATCTGTTCTAAAATGTATTTGATTTTACCTAAAACAGCTACAGTGCCACTCAGAGCTTTAAGTCGAGAAGGGTGACGGGTTATGGCCCTATGGGACATAAAGTCAAGTCCCATGTGCCTGAAGTGTCACCGTTGCCCTTCAAAACCGAAATGCTGTATTGCTCACATTACTGCTTGGCGGCAGAAATAGATTTGTAGCAAGCATATATACTGTGCTGTATTTTACGCAGTATTTCCCTAGACGAACTTTTTCTAATCTACAACTAGCAATTTATTGTTTGTGCATGTAATGTATTTGTTACTTTTATCGGGTTCTTATGTTCTCGCGATGGTAACACATAGGAAATGATTTTTTTCGGATCTAAGTCACGTATATTTGTTTTTTATTAAACAAACCAACATTTCGAGCCCTTTACAGGTCAGCCGTGACTATATGGTACCTGTAAAGGGCCCGAAACGTTGGTTTGTTTGAAAAGAAAACACGCATTTCGATCCACAAAATAATTTATTTTTTTATATTTGTTTCTTTATTAACTTTTGCGACCAAAATACCAGCCTGTCTCATGAAGCATAGTAAGTCATTAACTCCTAAATCCAGTTTCAACCTAGCCATTGTTCTACACATGTTCACGTAGCTAATCTCTTTATCGTAATCCAATATACGGAATCCTCGTTGTCCTAAATACGAAGGTAGGCTTGGTACGTTGGTGGAAGACGTTGATTATAACTCAGTTGTTATTAGATTTCATAATACGTAAATTTTAAATTTATTCACATAAAATTTACGTAAATTTTCTTTGTATAAAGATCCACATAATTATTACATTGTCAATCCGCACACAAAGCTTTAAAATTTCGCCATATAGTAATATAATGACAAAATAATAAGGTTAGTTAATTGCTTGCACCAAATTATTGCACGTCACGTAATACAGCATAGATGTGCCTAAAGATATATATATGATTATTTTCACGAAACCTGTAGACACGGCGTTCCGATGAAAAAACTTTTGGTGATAAAAATGTTCGTTTTCACTTGAATCAACTTAACGTTATAGTGAATAAAATGAATATTAGTGACATTGTTATTAAGACTATGAACACATGAACGAAGTGTCTTCCTCTTAACTAATTTTAAAAGACAATTTATTTAAGTTACTTTTATGTTTCTTTGTTTCAAATTGCTTTTTTCAAATTGGCAAGGTTGTAATTAGTTATAAGGTTTTGTCTTCCTTTATAAAATAATTCAAAAAACACCTAAATCGACTGTTTATCGATTTGCATAGAATGTCGAAAAATACTTGTGGTAACTAACATAATTAGAACTTCAGTAGCAGTAGAGCTCCTTCTGAAAGAGTTCGTCCAGGGAAGTACTGCCACCTTATCTATTTCTGACGCCAAGCTGTAATGTCAGCGTTACTGTGTTCCGGTTTTGAAGGGTAAGGGTGCTGGTGAAATTACAGGCACATGGAACTTGTCAACTTATGGTTCAGGGTGACGAACCCAGTGGCAGTGCCCCTCAGATCTTTGCGGTTTTAAGTTCCGAGTGGCACTGCAACTGTTATGGACAGGCGTATGACAGGCCATCAGGCGCACGACTTGTTCGTCCCGTCGCTTGATATTATAAAAAAAACCTTTTTACATAAAAAACCGACCTCCAAAGTTCGCTTATCTGTTTTGTGTTTTATTTGGAATTAGATCTATACGCCAAATTTTATTGAAATCGTGTGAAATTCAAAAAATCCGGGTTCATCCTCTAATTTGCCACCCCACCTCTAAGGTGGAATATTGTGTCTTCAAATTTGAATTGGACTACTGAGGTACCCTCTTTCCAACAAAAAAGAAATATTGAAATGAGTTCACAAAGGTCTTAGTAATATACACAGAAAAAAACAGACAAATTCAGACCCTCCTCCTTTTTTGAAATCGGTTAAAAATTAGTTCATTTTAATGATACTAAGTTAATATTACGCATATTGTTAGTACGTAGCCACGAACACGTCACAAATATACCAAATGTATTGTTTGTGAGATGGTTCTACCATCGTATGCTATGTCTTATGAGGTCTAATGCTACCAAAAAGCAAGGTTGTACCAACACAGTTGAGGCCGAAATCCTCTTAACAGAGGAATCGATTACCACGTGACGGCAGAACCCATCGCTTCTGAATAGGATTACCGGACATGCGTTTCGGAATATGCAAATGCAATACAACTGTTGTTATGACCTATACTGACATTTTGCTGTCGTCTTCCGCAATCTAATTATTATACTAACGATGTAGGTACGTAAATACGCTTCAGCAATTTGTACAAAACTATTTTGATGTAGATGCGGTAATAGTCCGTATTAATAGGTCAAGCTTAGGAGCTGTTACACACGGCGGCTTTTAGCAGCTATGCAAACGCGATGCAAATAATAATAATAACGCACACACATAGCCCCGCACTAGGGACACCCCATGTCGCGGGTGCCATGAACACACACATAGACAACCACAAATTACACCCATACTCACGAGAGAAATAAATGTAGGCCATACAAATATTTCTCCCGGCCCGGGAATCGAACCTAAGACCTCGGCAGATGGTAACCGTTCGACCACGGAAGCAGCAAATGCGAAGCAAACGCGATGCAGTAAATAAATAAATCGCAAGTGTAGCGATGCAATCGCATCGATGCAATCGCGCGTTTGTAGCGATGCAGTCGCGCGTGTGTATCAATGCAATCGCCTATAACTGTGTACCGCGTCGCATTTTTTGATTTGATTGCATCGCTGCTAAAGGTCGCCGTGTGTAACCACTCTATGAGCTAGATAGCATTCAAACATGTATTAATTTGACTCCAATTTTATCATTGTTAAATTAAATAACTAAATACTTGAATAATAAAAAATGTAGATTGTTTTCAAATCTACGTTACGAATGTATATTATTTTACATGCGAAAATATGTAACAATTTGTAACAGTCTAGAAATATCTGGAAATCTAAACGAAACGCTGCGGAACGGCACAAAACCGGCCCATTTTCTCAGAGCGAGCTGTCACTTGCAATTTGGCTGGCTTATGCGAATTTAGGCGCTCTTCCAGTCTGTTGCTTGCGGCTGCCTCGAGAGAAATACATGTATACAACTACCGACATTAAGTTGTATTATATGTTGTTACATCGCACGTTTTGGGCCTTCAACGTTGTGCCCAAATCGCACCCCGAATCGCTTCAGTGAACTGGAGAATTTTATCTATACTATGTTAAAGCAAAGTCAAGTCAATTATGTACTCAATATGTATATCTCTT